GTGTCCCCGCAGAGTCCGAGTACACGGAGGCCGAGGCGCTCATTGTCACCTACTCGCTCAACAACTTCGAGTCCGGGGACGAGCGCCTCGAGTGGGTGCTGAGCTGGGAGCGCCGATTCCTGGACGTGGTGCGCGACTTCCAGCGCCGCCACAGCCACAACCTCTCGGTCACCTTCATGGCCGAGGTGCGGCAAGTGTCCCCCTCGTGTCCCCTCGTGTCCCCCTCGTGTCCCCTCCGTGTCCCCTCCATGCCCCTGGTGCCCCCCGTGTCCCTGTGCCCCCCGTGTATTCCTGTGTCCCCTGCCCCCGCAGAGCCCCCAGGGTCCCCCGTGTCCCCTCCACGTCTTTGTCCCCTTCCATGTCCCCGTGTCCCCGTGTCCCCTCTATGCCCCTGGTGCACGTGCCCCTTCCATGTCCCCCGTGTCCCTGTTCCCCCTCTGTGTCCCCGGTGTCCCCTCAGCTGTCGCTGTCGCTGTCCCCTCAGCGCTCTCTGGAGGACGAGATCAACCGCACGAGCGGGGAGGACATCCCGGTGTTCGCCACCAGTTACCTGCTGGTGTTCGCCTACATCGCGCTGGCCCTGGGCGAGTACACGGCCTGGAGGCGGGTCCTGGTGAGCCTGGGGGGCACGGGGGTGCCACAGGGACCTGGGGGGCATGGGGGTGGCACAGGCTCCTTGTGGGCCCCGAGGGACTCTGGGGTGGTGGCAGCGGCCTGGGGGAGCCGATCCCAGGGTGCTCATCGGGGGGTGCTGATCTCGGGGTGCTGATCTGAGGGTTCTGATCTCGGGGTGCCGATCCGGGGATGCTGATCTATGGGTGCCGTTCCGTGGGTGCCGATCCGGGGGTGCCGTTCCGTGGGTGCTGATCTGTGGGTGCCGATCTGTGGGTGCCTATCCGTGGGTGCCGATCTCGGGGTGCCGATCTGAGGGTTCTGATCTCGGAGTGATGATCTGTGGGTTCTGATCCGTGGGTGCCGATCCGTGAGTGCTGATCCGTGGGTGCCTATCTCGGGGTGCTGATCCGTGGGTGCCGATCCGTGGGTGCCTATCCGTGGGTGCCGATCCGTGGGTGCCGATCCGGGGGTGCCGATCTGTGGGTGCCCATCCGTGGGTGCCGATCTCGGGGTGCTGATCCGGGGCTGTCACAGGTGGAGTCGAAGGTGACGCTGGCCGTGGGTGGCATCGTTGTGGTCCTGGGGGCCGTGCTGGCCTCCATGGGGCTGCTGTCGCTGCTGGGGCTCGCCTCGTCCCTCATCATCATCGAGGTCGTGCCCTTCCTCGTGCTGGCCGTGGGCGCCGACAACATCTTCATCTTCGTGCAGGAGCTGCAGGTGCGGGCTCTGGGGGCTCGGGGGGTCCTTGGGGCACCCGGGGGGGTCATTGGGACACCCTGGGGGGGGTCCTTGGGGCACCCGGGGGGGCTCGGGAGGGTCCTTGGGGCACCGGGGGGATCCTTGGGGGATCACATTTCAGGACAGGGCTCCCCATGGGGCAAGGCGGGCATCTGTGGGGCACGGGGACGTCTTTGGGGACACCTTGGGGACACCTTTGGGGACACCTTTGGGGACACCTTGGGGACATCTCTGGGGACAGGCCACAGGGGCAAGGAGATGCCTTTGGGGTCTAGGATCCTCATGGAGCACAAGGGCTTGGGGACACCTTGGGGACACCTTGGGGACACCTTGGGGACACCTTGGGGACAGAGGTCCCCATGGTGGGGGGACACCCGAGGGCAGTGGGGATCCCTGTGGGGCAGAAGGACATGGGGACACTTTGGGGACCGGGGTGTCCATGGGGCACAGGGGCTTGGGGACACTTTGGGGACAGGTACCCCATGGGGCACGGGGGCACTTTCGGGATTGCCATGGGGAGTGTGTCCCTAGGGGGGGTCCCGTGGGGCAGGTGGGCACCCT